TCTGAAACCTCCCCCAGTGAGGACAAGACTTTTCCATGGCCTATTGTTTTCGCTGATGGGCCGTTAGCATTGTCTAGCTTCTTCACTGTTGTACCTGAAAGGCTAGTTGTGGATATTACCCAGGTCAAGACATTTGAAATACAGATGCATAGTCAAAATTCATAACTCCAGATACAAAAATGATACATGCATACAAATAGTATTACCATACTCAGCAAATCCTAACTTTTCCATTGACACCTTACTTGACGCATCTTGTATAAGATGCCACATAATTATATCATCATACCACAATCATATTACTATGGTGAATATGGAGTGCAGAGTCAGTGGGGAGGGAAAATTATGTATTTACCAGTCTTAGACAAGATTTAGCATTTCTCCCTTCTGCTTTCACACTGTAACCATGAAACCAGTTAGACTTTTTAAAAAATAAATACCTATCCAATGAACTAATTTTTTAAAAAGTTCAGATTCTATTCAGGTATCTACTTTGTCATATTTCCAAAGGTGCTAAGTGTAAGCGGGGGAATGGTCCCGCTATTGTGGGGAACTTTCCTGGCTTCTGCACTACCCTGGTGAAGTGGGCTAGCAAAAGGATCTGAGTCCTCGCTCCCACTCCCTTTAACCAGAGGCCTCCCAGCCCTTGAGGGCTCCCCTTCCACTCTCCTGTCTGGCAGAGTCCTCATAACCACAACAAGGCTGGGCCCAGGATTCCTGGGGGGCTCAACCCCCAACCCTGCTGTGGTCACCTAGGACAGGGGCTAGGGTGTCCCCACTCTGGGGTACTCTCTCTGCACTGGGCACCTCCCTGACCCACTGATTATTCCATACAATTTAAACCAAATACAAGTTCTTTAACAATTAATCTAAAGAAAAGAATAAGGAAAAATGGGAGAGGTTAAAGAAAAACACATCACCCCGCTCTGTGGCAGGGAACATCACAAACCTCTCTGGACATCAGGGCACTTCGCAGTCTGTTCCTTGTAGATCCCAGATTTCCTTCTCAGGCCCTGGCTGTGCTGCAGGGATGCTGCGGGTTGGACACTTGCAATGGTGGTGGCTACACACCTCCGGGCTTTGAGTGGTGGGACCCTTCTTTCCAGCATCAGCCCCCCATCAGGTTAAGTTCCCCCTCCCGGTCTGACCTGCAAGGGCCCTTGTCTGGAGGGGTCTTTCTGTGCTGGGCCCTTTGCCCAAGGTCCCCCCTTGGCTGGCCCCACTTGCTCACCACACCTGGCTCTGTGGCTGCAGCTCTGCTCCCAGCACAGGATCTGCTCCCCAGCTCAGCTTGGGCCCCTGCTCTCTCCTTAGCTCGGCCCCACTCAGTCTGACCCAGGCAAACCCAACTCACCCGGAGGATGGGACCCACCCTGGCCTCCTGTCATGCTGATTAGCCTGCCCGCCCTGTCAATCAGGCTGACCTGGAGCATTGGTCTCTCGCCATTGTTCCTGGGGACTGTCACTCTCAGGGTCCTGATTTTCCATTGACCCCTTCCCTTTTAGTGCTGGGAGCTAGCCAACCAAAACACCCCCACTGAACCTTAGTAAGAACCCCTTACATAAGCACTCAGTTGCTCATGTGTTGAGACAAAAATATCTCCCACAAACTCAGTGAAATTATTTAAAATATTTGTTTTTTGTGTCCATGAGTAACGGGATTTCAGATATACCAGGCATTCATTTATCCCTTCTACTGACTATCTCCATGAATAAGTGCTTTCTAGTGTAAGGGATCCACAAACTGTCCCTCATCCCTTCTGCTTTATAAATTAATTCATGGAATTAACACCTTTATGTATTTTCCCTTTAGGTCTGGGCTCTGCTCCTCTCATCTCTGTTGGGGGTTACCAGGATGCAGGGATACGGGTGGTTTGTCAATCAACTGGCATCCATCTAAACCCACAGAAATTGTAAGTGGGGCAAGGAAATGCATTAGGTTTGCTTGTGAATTTTTCCTATGCTACTAGGGTGACCAGACAGCAAGTGTGAAAAATCAGGACGGGGGTGGGGGGTAATAGAGGCCTATATAAGAAAAAGACCCCAAAATCGGGACTGTCCCTATAAAATCAGGACATCTGGTCACCCTATATGCTACAGAGGTAGTTTTATTCCTGTTTTTGTAACTGTGAAGCTGAGCCCAGAGGGGAATCCTCTGTGTTTTAAATCTTATTACCCTGTAAAATTACCTTCCATCCTGATTTTGCGGGTGTGATTCTTTTATTTTTTTCTTTATAAAAAAGTTCTCCTAATGGATTTCAGTGTCCTGAAGACAAAAGGTCTCGTCTGTGCTCACATTGCTAAGGCAATTAGTTGGTATATTATTCTCAAGCCTCCCCAAGAAAGAGTAAAGAGGCTTGAGGGACATTTTGGGGGAATAGGGATTCAAAATGACACTTCCCTGAATTTTTGTGTAAATCACTTGGTGGTAGCAGCAATACTATCCAAGGACAAGGAAAGGAATTTGTGCCTTGGGGAAGTTTTAACCCAAGCTGGTAGAATATAAGCTTAGGGGATCTTTCATGTGGGTCCCCACATCTGTACCCCAGAGTTTGTGCAGGACCTTGACAGCCCCCTAGTCCAGGCAGTACGTCCCAATGGCTAAAGTCCATGGGAATCACCTCCTCATCAGGGCAGTGTGGCCCAATGGCCAGAGTCTACAGAAACCGCCCCAGCGTCAGGGCAGTGTGGCCCAATGGCCAAATTCTATATGATTCCTGTGCCAGACCTGTCCCCCTCCTAGGGGGGGAGGCGGCTGGAGGGTAGGGGGACTCGGACCCTCCCTGTCCACTGGATCCCAACCCAGGGCCCTAGGGGTGGCATGTTCCCCTTGCCACAGCTCAGAGGGGATCCACCCGAAACATGCCGAACCCCAGCACGGCTTTAACACCATTTCCCTCTAAAATTCCTTTGGGTCGCTCCCTACCATAACTTCCGGGTCCTCCACATCTGGGGATCCTCTAGTCTGCTCCCCTTCTATGATGTACTCCATTGGAGTGCGTCCCAGTCTGGCTGGCCTCTGGGTCTTGGAGTAAAGGCTGTCCCTCTTCAGGAGCTAGTAGTGTGCTTCCTTCCCTTCCAGCAGTCAGTCCAGACTGAGCAGCTCTGCAGGCCTTTATACTAGCTCTCCAGCTGGATCATGCCCAGCAGAGCCTCAGGGGCATGGCTTCCTCTGTTAGGAAGGAAGGGTTAACCCCTGCAGTACTAGTGTGGGGCCAATCCTCCCCGTCACAGGGTGGCAGAAGGGCAGTGTCTCGGAGAGAAAGGTGGTGCGAATACAGGGGCCTGGGGAGGAAATGGGGGCTGGGCCATGGGTCGAACGCCGGTGGCCACTCCACTTTTAGTGAGCGTCTGTCGCTGCAGCGGCACCACTGCATTGGTAGAGCTGCCCCGCTGCAGCGCTGTGCTCATAAACATGCCATAAGTCGGGACTGCGTGGGGGTGCCTACGTCTGCATATCAATCCAGGAATGGGAGCCAACCACCTCAGCTGTTTCCTGTGGGAATGAGTCAGGCTCCTGCTGCACTGCACACAACATGGGGGAGGGGGAGAGAGGTGCTGCTACACATGTTATAACTTTTAGCCCAGTGATAGCACACTTGCCTTGGATATGGGAGACCCAGGTTCAATGTCCCCCTCGTGGCCAGGGGGGAGAAAGAATTTGAACAGGGATCTCATATTTCTTAGGTGGGTGCTCCAGCCACTGAACAATGGTACAGTCTGAGGGTGGGAGTCTTCAGTCTCTCCTGTCCTCACTCTGAGCATGAGACCTGGCCCAGCACACAACCACAAGAAGTATTCCTCCTTGTTCTGGCTGGGGCACAGGAGTTTTTGTTCTTACATAGGAAATTGCCAGCAGCACTTCCATAACTTCCTTCAGCTGAACTCTGCATCTACTGAGACTGACCAATATCTTAAATGATTGTGGTGACAGGATCCTAATTTAAAGTGCTCTGTTCTTTCTTTCTTTCTCTCTCTCTCTCTATCTATCTCTTGTAAGATAGTTCTGGGCACATCCTCAGCTGGTGTAAAGTTTCACAGCTCCACAGCACAGATGTGCCCCAGCAAGTTTCCAGTGCATTGAATGTCACCTCTTCGTCAACAGAAATTCATTAAACTATATCAAGCGCAAGGGCTAGAACTGCATAAAGGAGAGCTGGAACTTCAGAAGAAGCATTATCCAGTGTTAACTGGAGACCCAGGTTATAGTCTCTGTTCTGACCAACTTTCTCTGTGGCCTCAGGCAAGTCACTGCATTTCTCTGTACCATAGCCCCCATCTGTGAAAACTCTCCATCTGACCCCATTAATGTGCTGTCCACTTGTAAAGGAACAAGCACATGGGCTGTTGTGAGTCAGGGATTCAGTTACCTGCAGTGATGACTTAGAACAGGAGAACACTGTGTTTGCTGGCCAATCAGAACTTAGAACCAACTAACACTGTTTAGTCATGGTTAGAGTCTTATCTGAGAACAGAGATGGGTTGGGCTTTTACCTTCAGACCTTACAGCAATAAAGTTACTGGCTTCACCAGAAACTCCAGCATAGCAGGACAAAGGTTGTTTATAACTGAAGTAATTAAAAGGTGAGTTTCCATATGGAGGATGAAATAGAAAATATGATCATTATGACAGCTATTGAGCAGTTCTCAAGGAGCAGGAAGCAGAACCTCTTCAAAATTCTCATTGCCTTCAGCCAGATTGGGCACTTGGAAATCTGAGCCTGCTGCCACCAACACTGGTGCACTAGGAGGGCTTCTTGGGAGAGGATCTTTATCTCCAAACCATAATGAGGGAGTGATACGGACTGAAATCACACAGCATTCCTGTTCCTTTGCTACTTTCCCTTTCTATCTTGGTGAAGGCATCAAGAGAGACACATTTCACTTCTGTGTCCAACAAAGAATAAATACCATTTTGGCAGAATTATGCAAGGAAAGACTGGAATTCACCTCTTTGTCTCTGTAATATTTTATTAAGAATTAATTTTGCAGCCTCCTAACCAAAATAGTCACTGACAATGTAAGATAACTAGCGGAGAATGGATGAGGATTTTAGAAAACCTTGGAATACCAGGGAGATCTAAAAACTCTTCCAAAGCTTATTCCCAGGATTTATCAGGTAGGTGAAATCTGACACTTGAATACCATCTTCCTTTTTCTTTGATATTTCCTAGTATTTATTCCTGACCTTGGGTGAATTATTAACGGCAAAATGATCCAGTAATCCCAGATAAATGTGTCTTACTCTGAATATAAACTTTGCTTTTGAACTATATATTCAAAATGATATATGAGCTGTTTTTCCCTCTCCTTTCATTGTGATTTAACACCAAACTATTGTGGTTATTTGATTTAAGAACTTATTTATTTCCTTTTATATTTTATTCAAGAAAACTGGACCTGATCCTGCTCTCAATGCATTCAAAGGAAGGTTTGTTATGAATTAACTAATTGTATATTTCTGTTTTGTAAAGTAAGTTACAAACCCTTGCAAATCCAACTTTATGGGAAGCGTCTTTCTGTCTTCTTCCTGTTTGTTTATGGGACTGAATCATTTTGCCTCTGATATGTTGAAAGAAAATAAATGGGTAAAAAAAACCCTCCAATAATCTCAATCTCTCTCTCTCTCTCTCTCTCACACACACACTCTGTTTCTCAGTCCTTAATTTTTTTTCTCCATTGATGGAATTACTATCAGTTTTTACACTGATCTGACTTCTTTTTTAATGTGGATTTTTGAAGGGATGTTCTAACTCCTTAATATGAAAGGGTTCACTTAACAATGTATTAATTCCTTTTTATTTAATGTGTCCTTGTTAATGTTTGACTTTATGTTAATCAGTGTGTTATGCTCATTATGATGAGTTTTTTTCCTCTTCCTTCCTATTGTCTAGATCAAGTTACAATGAAGATGAAGATTCTCTCATTCTGCCACAGCTCCAGAGCCAGCTCTCCTCTCCCTGGTTTTATGGTTTTCTTCCTTATTTGTTATGTTCACAAGATGGAATCAGGTAGGAATCTGCCCTGTGTGTACTGTTCCTTAGAGGATTTATTTAGGCCCCTGAAGTGTCTTAACAACATGTTTCACTCAAAGTCAATGTAACTATTCACAGTGTGTAAACTTCACCACACAGCAAGATCAGCACCTTCATTATCCATTGTTTGCTCTGATTGTGTTGCTGCTGCTGGGTTATTTTATTTCCTCATGGAATAGTGCATGTCTGTCTCTTCACACAGGCATTTTTAAGAGATTGTCAAGGATGTCCAAAGCATTGGATAGACACTTATTGAAAAGTTTAATAATAACAATACATAATAATAATAATAATACAATACATAAATTAACTTAATTCAGTTGTAAAAATGATCAGAGCCATAATCTGAGACTCATATGTGCCCAAAAACATAAGAATCAAAATATTGATGTCACATGACTTTTTTATTGGGCCTGTTAGCTAATATGTTAGATGTAATATACACCATGTTATTAGGTATTAAGTGCATGGTAGTCCTATAATATACATGATAAAAGTGTTGGGAAGTTAACGGAATGTATTATGCTCTTCCCACAATTCTGTTCACTGATATCAAGTATCCCACCAAACTTTACAAAGCTGAAGGTACTGTTCACCATAGAAAATAGGAAGTCTATCAAAGCCAAGATACATGACTGGAGTGTCCTAGCACTAGTTGAGATGTATGTCCACACCTGTCTGGTATGGAAAGTGGTGTCCAAAACAGAGATAAGGAAGGTAAAAAACAACAAGTAAAGGAACTGGTGGCTTGGATATTGGCTGATGTATAAAGTGTTTTCTCACTTGTGAATAGGTCTGGTGTATAAATGTAAGTGCGTTTGGGGGGGTGTATTTTTGAGGCACACCTTCTGTGTAAGGTGAGCATGCCGCAAAATAAGAATTGCTTCTCAGAAGGACAGTATGTTTGTCTCTTTTTCGTAGTGCACTGTTTTGTCTTTAGCCAATAATTTTGGCTAAGTCTGGTTATTTGGTCTCTTGATCATATGAAGTACTGAACAGTAATAATCCAACAATTGGCTCTAGCAATAGCGCTATATCTCAGAAACACCATGGTGAAAGAACACCAAAAAGGCCCACCAAGTCTATCCTTATTCCTGGTGAGGCCCAGCAAATTTCATGGCAAGATCAGCAAGCGTGTCAATTTGAGATCACTCAGAAAAATGGGCTGTTAAATAGTAAGCTTGCCTCAACTATACACCAAAAATGTCCGTTACCATTTCCCTGCCTCAGTTTCTCTGATGTGTGACTTTGCCAGGGACTGAACACACCCGTCTTCAGCTTCCCACCCCGTGTCAGCACTGTGTGTGCCTGTGCCATGCACTGAACCTACCAATTCTCCGCTCCCCTCTCTGTCCAGTGCTTTGTGCCTGGGCCATGCTCCAAGCTTGTCTGTTATCAGCTCCACGCCCCATCTCAGTACTGTATGCTTGTGCCATACACAGAGGCTGAGTGTTCTTATAACAGTCTCAGTCCCGCTGCTCTCACTTAAGCATTTAGGCTGAAATGTTCTACGCCTGGTGTCTGCTTCTGGCTGAACTTTTTAGAAAGTTTGTATAAAATGAAATCTGTTGGGTGTGTCCTTCATATCAAATTCCCACTTTCCTCTGAGCTGCTTTTGTTGTTCTTGCTTTGGTGCATTTTCCAGCAACGTTCACAGTGATTGGATCCCGTGGCCCTATCACTGCCATCCTGGGTCAGGAAGCTGTGTTACCCTGTCACCTGTCCCCCCGGATGAGCGCTGCAAACATGGAGGTGAAATGGTTCCGCTCCAAGTTTGTATCCATTGTGCACCTGTACCATAATGGGAAGGATCAGTATGAAAGGCAGATTCCAGAGTATTGGGGAAGGACAGAGCTTTTGAAAGCTGGACTCACAGATGGAAACATTCCCTTGAGGATTCTCAATATCAGACTCTCTGATGAAGGACAATACCACTGCTTTGTTCAAGATGATATTTTTTACGAAGAAACTATAGTGGAACTGCAGGTAGCAGGTCAGTGGCTTGTGTCGGTTTTAGCTTTGTGTGGTCTGCAAGCTTTGTTCTATCCTATTACAACAACAACAACAACAACAACTGTGACTCCCTGCTTGTGAAATATTTTACAATAATGCAGTTTATGTCAATTTCAGCAAACAGCCACTTTTATACTTGGGAGACAATGCTAGAAACTTTCCTGACATGTTATTAAACATTTACAGGATGGTCCAGGCACTTTCTTGCCCAAAGGAAATTCTTGATTGATTCCCAAAGGGGTCTTTAGTGAAGAGGGAAAGGATTTCTGGACACATATGACCTTTCAGTTGCTCTGCAGTCATTTCTAGGATGTGTGGGTATGGTGGGACTGGCCAACTTTTATGGCCTTCTTATGGGTTCACTGTTGGTTATGACTTAGGGGTGTAGTCAAAATCAAATGCAGCCTTCTTATTTGTTAAGATTGTATAATGGTGGTGGTGGGGAGGGGAAATTATGTACTTACCACTTTTAGATAAGACTGAGTATATTTCCACTGCTGCTTTGACACTGTAACCATGGCACCAGTTAGATTTCTTTTAAAATAAACATATCTATCCAATGCACTAATGATCAGATTTTCAAAAATTTCAGATCTAATTCAACTATCTAAATGAAGTGGTCATACGTCCAAACGTGCTCTGCACTCAGTTGCTCCTGTGTCAAAAGAACAATATCTCCCATTGACTCAGTGAAATTATTGTAAATATTTATTCACATTTTTGTGTGTCCATGAGCACTGGGATTTCAGACATTCCAGTATTCATTTATCCCTTTTACTGACTACCCACATGAATTAGTGCATTCTCATATGAGTAAGGGATCCACAAACTGTCCCTCATCCCTTTTGCTTTATAAACTAACTTATGGAATTAGCACCTGTATGCATTTTCCCTTTAGGTCTGGGCTCTGCTCCTCTCATCTCTGTTGAGGGTCACCAGGATGGAGGGATCCGGGTGGTTTGTCGATCACCTGGTTGGTACCCAGAGCCTGAGATGCTGTGGAGAGATCTCAGTGGGCGACATTTACCATCACTCTCTGAAACAAAATCCCGAGGGGATAATGGCCTGTTTGAAACAGAAACTGCGATCATTGTAACAGAACAGTCAAACGAAAACTTGTCCTGTTGCGTTAGGAACACCGTTCTCAATCAAGAAAAGGAATCAGCAGTTTCTATAGCAGGTCAGTCACCATCCAAACCCCACATTGAACTCACCACCACTAGAAACAAAACAAAACATAGGAAGAAAAGAACTGAAACATCTGTGGTGGGTATTTCATAATCCACATTCAAACACAGAAGATGGGAGGTTGGTACCCTTACAGGGTCACAGCTTAGGCAATTTGATTCCCTTAATTGTGAGTATTCAGTCTATCAAAATTTTGGGTTTCATGTAAATTTAATGTTAAGTCTGACTTTTCTGCTCTTCTACCACACACGCATGCACACGTATACTCAAACTTTGAACCATTTGAGAAAAACTTTCATTCAATCCACTGATGCAGTATGTTCCTGCAACCTTAACTTCATCTTAATAATGTTTTTGAATGTGGCAAATTTTATACTGTGGCTTCTTTGTGATCTTCTCATCTCCCCCGCCCCCCCCCAACTCATTGTTCATTATTTGTGTGAAATGTTACCTCAGTCATGTGGTGATCTTTCTACTGACTTTCAACGGGACTTGTGCTCCTTAAGTCACTTTGGTCTGGATCCAAAGACTCATTTTACCCTTGTCTCCACATAAGTTGAACTGGTTAACTATTTAGTTAATCAATGACACATGCTTGGGTGAATACTCGTATAAGTTTCAGAGTTCCCTATATACATTTAGCTCCAGGCAATTCCTTACCGACTGCAACTAAATGGAGGTAGAGCACTATTAAGCCGATTTATGGATTTAAGCTTCTGTGCATCAATATATTCAAATTGGTGCAACCCTCATATGCTGTCAACTCTTGAACCAATTTAAGAATGGCCACATAAGAGGGTTGCCCCAGTTTCACTATATCAGAGCACAAACCCTGTGCAGAAAAAGCTTTAGGTACATTTCAAAAATTCCATCCTGGGTAGATGTCTGAATCACTGTGAACACAAGAACAGTACATGAAGATTAATTAATTTGCTACTGAATTGTTTGGACAAATTGTGATTCTGGGTCCTTCAAATATTTGGGGGGGGGTAATAGTGGATTTTTCAAAAATATTTTAATTAATCTGACCATTTCAGAATGTTGCTGAACACTAAGGATTAAATTATTTGCTGGTGTAACTCTATTGAAGTCAATGGGGTATTATGAGCAGAGAATTTGCCCCTGAATTCTATGGCTCTCTGAATAGCAGTGGATCAAATGAGGCCTGTTTTTTCCAGGATAAATCAGTGTTAAATCTGTGTTGATTGGAGCCATTTTTAAAATCAGTTTCTGGTATTTTGTGTAGTGTAGACATGGCCATTTTTTCACTCTTATCTCACAGAAATCCTGCTGGGTACTATTTATGTATTTGTATGGAATAAAAACATCTGATTTTTTTCATTACCGCTTCCATATAAAGGCAAATTCCGGTGGTTTTTGTTTGTTTGTTTGTTTTTTGTTTTGTTTTTCAGATCCATTTTTCCCGAGGGTGAATTCCTGGATGGCGGCTCTCGGTGTGATCCTGGTGGTTTTGATTGGTTTCATTGTCCTCACTGTTTATCTCTTTAAAATGAAAGGTAAATATCAGAGGGAAAAATACATTGTATATAAAGGTTTTATTCTAATAAATAAAGAGGAGGAATTTTGGAATTTATTATTAAAAGAACGTGTGACCTGCTGATCTTGTCCTAAATAAAGAAGAATGCATGTGAATTTATTAATGGAGGGTAGGGGCAGAGGTGTGTGTTTTAAGGCCTGATTGGATGTTTCCAGAGATCACTCTCCTTTTAAAAGTCCTTCCAATTAGGGAGTGAGGCTGGCATAGCTACATATCTGAGGGGTGTAAGTTTTCAGTGCAGACCAGCCCTCAGTCTCAGTCTTTCAGAAGAATCTATAGAGGTCTGGCTTGTTAATTAAGGTGTGATAAATTGGGAATTTTCTGCAATATTTTTATGAATTCAATGTATGCCTCAGTTTCCTCTATATGTAACCCAGTGGGGAGAAAGGACTGTTTGCTCTCAGGCTAAGAGACATCAGAATTGGTGTTATGGGCCTTGGTCCCCATATCGATAGAGCATCAGAGAAGACGGGTGGCAAATCCAATCACCAGATATTGACACCTAGCAACCAACAACCCAGAGGGAGATGGATTTCCCCACATCTAAGCAGGGAAGCTGATCAACATTCCCCAGCTCAAGAACAAAGGACTGGAGAGGTGTGAGGTGGGGGATACAAGTTGGCTGCTGGAAGGAGTCAGGGCTCTGACCTGTAGTCTGAACAAGGAGGTCGGATGGAGATACAGACAGAGCTTGAACAGGCTCTAAGCTGACCAGAATCATTGATGCTTTAACCTTCAATTCTCTACGATAACCTACGGTCTTCCTATGCTGTGTCCAGTTGACTAATACACCCGACAATGACAATGCTCTTTGAGTGCCACTGCAAATGCTTGGTGAGGTGTGTTTATCCCTGAAGAGTGTGTGAGTCTTTACCAGGAGTATCTCAGCTGGACTAGCTGAACAGAGCTCAGAGTGCAAAGCAGGAGTGCTGAAGGCTGAGATCCAGTCTAAGGAGGTGGCAAAACCATGTGGCTCACCCAGGAGGTAGAGAGAGAGAGGCCTAGGAAGTCTGGCAGACTGAAGAGTCTAGTGACTGTTGCAGAGCTGGGGTGCAGCACCGATCAAGTGAATTCATGGCAGAAGTTGCAGTAGATCTAGATTCCCAGAACAGGGTTTATCTTCAACTGCTCCCTGCTGCAGTCAGCTTGTACCTGGTCTGAAGGGCCCTTGTGAGTGGCAGAGGATCACAAGTTGTCTTCCAGTGGCTCTGTTGTAAGAATCAGCTACCTCTGAGTTCCAGCAGCCACCCCCTTCCTGTGACAAATTCCCTTTCAAGATCATTTCCTCCAAGTGGAGAGGACCTGCAGGATGCCTGTTTAATGCCAGTTGAGTCCAGAGGAGTTTTCATCTTTTCCTGACTGGGATGGGGATGTGCCCCAGGAGAGGGTGTGATGATCTAGTTTCATGAAATTTGGGGTAAATCTAAATTAGACAAAATACACACCAAAATATTTGGGATGGTGGGGAAGCAACAGAAAAGAGGAAATTGAATAGAAATAATCACCCGAGTTTCTCTTTGATGATAAAGAGAAACAACACATAAGGGAAGGAAAGTTCATAATAAGCATTTATTTGTATTTCTGAGTATGTTTAAGGGAAACAAGATCTAGAAATTGGTAAGTGCCATTTTCCTTCCTCTGAAAGTTTTTGTACACAATTGGATCTTCATGTGGGAGTGTAATCGAGTCACCAGTCACAGGCTCTGACTTTTTTTCTTTTTGCTGCTGGGTTCTGTATCCCCACTCTGCACTCTCCCCCAAGGCCTGACCCACACTTCCCCCTCCCCCAAGGTTCCCTCCCCTCAGCACTTCCCACTCCTCTGAGGACCCACTGCTCACTCCTCTTGACCCCCTCCACCAAGTACCTCCCCCCTGCTGCTCTCTCCAGGGGGCAGAGAGGAGCGAGTGGCGGGGGCTTTGGTGAAAGAGGCAGAGTGTGGGGAGGAAGGGGTGAAGTATAGGTGGTGCCGCAGTCCCTGGGTGCTGAGCCAGCCCTGGGGTCCACCCCAAAAAGCTGATTGACGGCCAGCTGCTGGGTGCTGAGCACCCCCTATTGTTTTTCTATGGATGCTTGAGCCCTGGAGCGCTCACAGAGTCTGTGCTTATGCATCGGTGAGTTAGGTGGCCTAGTGGCTAGCACACTTAGTGCCGCCTCCCAGGGGGCAGGTCTTGCAATCCTGGTTCTCTTTCAATCAGAGGTGCAGTGAGGTAGGCAATGATAGGGGAGCTCAGGCCCACGCAGTACACCAGGCTCTGACCCAGCACCCTAGGAGGGTCAACCTTCAAAGGTATCCTCCTAATAACCCTCCTTGGGTCACTTCCTACCAGCTGCTGGTCTTCCCCAGCTTCAAGTCCAAGATAAGGTGAAAGGAAAAAGCAACCAAACCATCAGCCCCAACCAGGCCTAAGCGTGCAGTCAGTCCCTCGGGGAGGCTGCTCCGGTGCCTTTGTCAGTAACCTTCAGGGTAGTCTGTCCTCCTCCCGTGCGTCTCCCTTCTGAGCTGGGTTGTTCCCTTTTCAGCCCTTGCTCCAGTTGGAGCATGATCTGCAGGGCTGGAGGGGCATGGTTACCTGGCACAGTAGTGTTCTTTCACCATGTCACGCCCAGTGTGGTGTTTGTATACCCCCTCAAACCCTGGACTGTGGTGTCCTGGGGCTGGTTTCTGTCCCCAACATCCTGTAATGAGTACACATATTTTCCATGCCTGAACAATATACCCGTTGAAAGCTCTATGGCTGCATTGAGAGATGCCGCTGCATAATGCCTGGGTTATGGCCTGTCATTGACTTCAGCCAGTGGAGTGGTGCATGGTCAGTCACTAGGCGAGAGGGCTGCCCCCACAAGTAATAGCATAGGGCATCAGTGGCTTGTTTCACCTCCAAGGCCTCCTTTCAATGACCTATTAGGCTACCTCATGTGGGAATAGCTTCCTGTTGAGATAGAGAACAGGGTGTTCTTTTTCTCCGAATTCCTGAGATAGCACTGCTCCAAGTCTGATATCAGGCACATCTGTTTGGAGAATAAAGGGCTTTGAGAAGGCTGAGTGGAATATTACTGGCTTCTGGATCAACAGGTCTCGTAGTGCCCTAAATGCCTTGTCACCGTTTTTGGTTCAGTGGATCCTTTTGGGGTCAGTGCCCTTAACCAGGTCTGTCAACTGGGCAGCCATGGTAACAGAGTTTGGGATGAACTGTCAATAGTATCCCACTAATCTCATAAACCACTGAACTGACTTCTTTGTGAAAGGGACAGGGCAGCCCACTGGGGCTTGAACTTTTCCACCAAAGGTCAGAGCTCCTCACCTCCCCCGTAGCATACCTTAGGTAAGTGACTCCTTGAGTGCCCAGCTGACGGTTGGGTTGGCTGTGAAACCTGCCTCTTTGAGACCCCGAAATACCTCTGCAATGTGCTTCATATGCTTGTCCCAGCGCTCACTGTAGATGATATAATCAATGTAGGTGGCCGTGTAGGACCCATACAAACACAGCACTCTGTCCATCAGCTGCTGGAAAGAGGCAGTGTCCCCATGAAGTCCAAAGGGCATGGTTTTAAACTGGTGAATTCCATCACAGGCAGATTGTTTAATTGTTGTGGAGTTGTTTGCTTTTAAATTTACCCTTTTTATGTATTTATTTATTAAACCTGTTTTTGTTTCTTTGCTTGTTTTTTTGATTATTCGCAGGGGGGATAAAGGATGTTAATTTCTCTCAGCTTTCACTGTCGTATTGATGATAAAGAGAAATAAAACATATGAAAAGGGAAACGCCTAACAAAAATATATCTTTATTTCTCTTTAATTTTTAGAAAAACATGAGAACGAAATAAGTAAGTGTCATTTTCCTTCCTCTGAAAAGAAGCTTTTTGTACTAATTTGGAGTCTCATGTGGCTGTTTGTTTAACTGTGGTGGAGTTGTTTGCTTTTAAATTTAATTTTTAAAACTGTTGCAGTAGGAAACCTTTATTTGTTTGCTTTTTATTATCATTCTTTTGGGAGGTGTGGGCAATGTTTTTTAATGTAACTTTATAAAATGTGGGGAAAGAATAAACTGGATCAACTTCACACCAAAAGCTAATTTGAAAAATTGATAAGCAATACAGTAATAGAGTAGGTAGTAGGCAAGAAAATATGACCCAGGAGGAATTGTGAGAAGGCACTGGAGGACTATCAGCTCCTGAGATGGTTAACTGCCCTCCACACTGCAAAGTGGGCATGTAACCAACCTGAATTAAAGGGGCACCTGGGCTATAACCTATACTCAAAGTCTCGCCAGCCTCAGTGTAAAGCATCACCAGACTTGAGTCAGAGTATTTGTGCTTGTTTCCGGTTTTTTTTTTTTTTTTTATTTTTTACCCCAAAG